CCCTTCTTCAGAAATTTCTGAAGAAGGGTCTAGGCCCGAAACATCAGCCTTCCTGCTCCTCTGATGCTGCTTGGCCTGCTGTGGTCATCCAGCTCTATGCCTTGTTACCTAATGAGTTGATGGATACCTGGATAACGTGATGTGGCACAGAGATAAAGGTAAAGTTGCTCTAGTCCTACAGGACAATATGCTGCACTCTCACTACAGAGAGATGACTGGTGTGGTTTAACCTGAGGGTCACCACGCCCCAGGTAAGGGGAGAGATTGAGAAGGAAGGTCCTCATGGTAACCTCTGCCAGTGGGAATTGAACCCATACTGTTGGTGTCACTCTGCACTGCAAACCATCCAAGTGAGCTAAGCTTGTATTGTCAGTTGATCTCAAAAGAGATATCATAATTGGCTGAGAGATCTTATACGTAGTTCTATTTTTAGTCTCTGCTCCATATCTTAAAACCTCCAAAACCAACCAAAATAGGATAGATAGAGAGAAACTCCGTTTCCCTTAGTTTCTTGAAAATTTCATCATGTGGAGGTATCAGTCACATGACACCAGGTTATAGCTCAACAGGTTTATTTCAAATCACAAGCTTTTGAAGCGCTGCTCCTTCATCAGGTGAAATAAACCTGCTGGACTATAACGTGGTGTCAGTGACCTCTGACCTTGAAAATTTCAATCACATCTCCGCTCAAATTTCGCAACATGAGAGGATATCATCCTGGTTTATGCAACCTGTCCTCATAATTTAATCAATGGGAATCCAGCATAATTCTGGTAAATCTAAACCAGAATCCGTCTAAAACCAACATATCTATCCAAAGGTGGGGTGTCCAGAAATGAACTCAGCACTCCTGATGTTTATTAACCACAACTACGACAGCTATCCAAAAGCCTGGTTCGGCCACATCTGGAGTATTGTGTTCAGTTCTGGTCGCCTCATTACAGGAAAGATGTGGAGGCATTGGAAAAGGTGCAGTGGAGATTTACTAAGATGTTGCCTGGAATGGAAGGCAGGTCTTACGAGGAAAGGTTGAGAGAGCTAGGGCTTTTCTCTTTAGAATGACGAAGGATGAGAGGTGACTTGATAGAGGTGTATAAAACGATCAGAGGTATAGATAGAGTAGACAGCCAGAGACTTTTTTCCTAGGGTGGAGGCAGCTATTACGAGGAGGCATAGTTTTAAAGTGAGTGGAGGTAGGTATACTTATAGAGACATGACTTAATAAAGACATACAAGATGATCAGAGGATTAGATAGGGTGGACAGTGGGAGCCTTTTTCCTCGGATGGTGGTGGCTAGCACGAGGGGACATAGCTTTAAATTGAGGGGTGATAGATATAGGACAGATGTCAGAGGTAGGTTCTTTACTCAGGAGAGTAGTAAGGGCGTGGAACGCCCTGTCTGCAAAAGTAGTAGACTCGCCAACTTTAAGGGCATTTAAACGGTCATTGGATAAACATATGGATGATAATGGAATAGTTTAGGTTAGATAGGCTTCAGATTGGTTTCACAGGTCGGCGCAACATCGAGGGCTGAAGGGCCTGTACTGCGCTGTAATGTTCTATGTTCTATATAGGGGAGACGTCAGAGGTAGGTTCTTCACTCAGAGAGTGGTAGGGGCGTGGAATGCATTGCCGGAGAGGGTAGTGGAGTCGGCCTCATTAGGGGCATTTAAGCGATTATTCGATAGGCATATAGATGATAGTATAAGCTAGGGGTGGAGGTTAAATAGACCTTAGGATTAGGGTAAAAGTTCGGCACACCATCATGGGCCGAAGGGCCTGTACTGTGCTGTACTGTTCTATGTTCTAATGTAGTATCGTTGAAACACAAATTTTCCTCTCTTATATTGACGCCCTCTCAATATAAAACTGATAATTCCACTGGCCTTCTTGATTATTTTCTGTACATGTCCACGGCATTGAAACAATCTGGGTATACGGATCTTCACTGTGTCTAACGTTTCACCAAAGGAGTATGGAGACCTATCCTTTATATTTCCAAAGTGGATTTCCTCGCACTAATCTATATCAAAACTCTTATTACACTTTTGCTCATAGTTAGTTCATCAATATCTCTAATTTTACACTTCCATATACAGTGTTTACAATGACATCTATTTTTGTGCCATAAGCACAGCTTGACATGTGACTATCTCCCACTTAGAGCAGCAAGAGTATCCATATTTCAATCTACAAGTCACATACGTACTTTTGCCCCCATTAATCTAGTCAAAGCCCAGCTAACTGGGTCCTATTTGTGGCTTGCAAGATTCTGCAGTTAGGAAACTCTAGGAACACAGGATTAAACAACAATAATAAATACTGGCATTATGCCTTATGCCCAAAGATTGATCCATGAGTAATTTTATTTGTTTCCGAGTTTTCTATTCTGCTAAAGTAAATCACTGCAGTAATCTCTTTTTAATCCTTTCCAGCATGGCCTAGGTCTAAATTCACAATGCTTAGGTTAGCAACTGTACCTGCAGAACAGTGGTTCCAGGCTCCACCATCACCTGCTTGCCATCAATAAACACTTCAACCAGGTTGCTCGCTGCTGTAGCAGTGGTGCGAACTGAAAAGTAAAATAAGGAAATTTACCAATGATTTTGTTGTACCAGCAAGAAAATTTTACAAAGACATGAGTAAATAAAATAACTTTGTAAAGTGCCATTTTGGGATTGCAGTGCACAAATGAATAATCCATTTGGTTTCCGTTACTTCAGCTGTGTTTTCCAAACAAGGCCACTGCCAGCAGTGACTGAGCTTGGGTTGGGGTGGGCAGGGCTATGGTGTGTTGTGGTGTGGCAAATTGGACAAAATGTACAAGAGATACATGTTAAGTATATTAAATCTGAATATCCAAAGACTAGAGATGCTCATTGGAGATAATTTCCTTTGAGTGTCACTTCAATGAGAAGCTCCTTTGGTCACTTGATGGAAGAAACTTATTACATTCTACACATGCTGTAACTCCTAGGAATGGTAATATTATAATTCAAAAATTTGTCACGGAAGGTGAGGGTGGAAAACAGAGGGTGGCTGCTTAGCAAAAGATTATGCAAAATGAAAGCAGGAAAAGGGCATAATCAAGAGTTGAGAAGTATTCGACCATATGGCGCATTCAGTGCTGTTAAACTTATACTGCAACAGAATGAGACAGAAAGAAGAAAAATAAGGAGTCAAAATTCTCCCTATACCTTGGTGAAATTAAGGCATCAGGAAAGGATTGTTTTCAAAACCTAAACATTTCACTGATGCAATTCAGACCTTGCCAGCTAAACATGATGCAGACCCATAGAACATGGTGACACTTAAAGCTCACTGATGGCTCCCAGCAAGCCCAGTACTTATAACTGCTGATTGCTATCTTCTCATAGGAAGCAAGGGCTGTCAATAAACCTGGTCAGGTCAGAAAAGCCAAAATCCAGAGGACAAAACAATGAGAAATTAGCTTTCATTCATTTTTAGCTCAAGCACGACAAAAAGTGATCATTTTATTGTACCCTTGTAAACGTGTGCATGAAATTCTTTTAAGATCAGATGTACTGTTGATCACAGTAGTTTTCATACCATTATTCTTTGTTCCGAGGATATCTTTGGCAGACTGGGAAACGCCTGTTACTGCCTTGCGAAGCACAGGTAATCGCAGCATGATTGGGACCTGCATAAACAGCAAGAGTTCACTTAATGGTTACAAGTGTTGCCAAGGCTGTCCTATACTAGGACGGAAAAATTAATGTAAAGCCCCCATTCAGGAATTCTTGATCGAAGTCATCCTGTTTGAGGTGAGCTTCATGAGTGGAAGTATGTTTCCTTTGTTGCTCAAGGTTGAAATTTGAGCTGTGAGAAACTTTGCATTTTTTAAAAAAATTCACTTATGGGACATGGATGGCACAGGTTGGGCCATCATTCATTGTTTGTACATAGTCACCCTTGAGAAAGTGGTGACGAGCTGCCTTCTTGAACTGCTATAGTTCATTTGGTGTTGATAGACCCATAGTGCTATTTGGGAGAGAATTGCAGGATTTTGACCCAGTGACACTGAAGGAACAACAATACTTGAAGACTCCCAGCCACCTTTCTGCCACTCTCACCAAGCTGATTCTGTCAGCAACAAAAACCTTGAACAATCAGGACCTGAAGATGCCAAGATTCAGTACATCACCGAAAGATAGCAAGCCTGCTTGCTCTAATCTGTGGAAACTGATTATTGATGAAACACTGGGTGAGCTACTGAAACAACTCAAATATTATTGTGTGTCAGTCTGGGGATATTAGCATTCAAAATTACGGAATCCCCAGCTTATAATTAACAATATATGTTATCTTATCCAGGTTTTTTTGCACTAAACTGAAGCAGCACATGATGGCAGAAGCATGTTGGGCCAGATTGCACCCTTTAGCTGCCATATGATTCCATGAAAAAAGGTCAATTTGAAAACATTCGCTACCGATTCTACAAAATTGCAGAACTTAGCATTGATTCAGTACAACATGGTCCTATTTCTCCAGCCCCAAAAATCAGCTTTAGGGATATACTTGGCAGGTAAGTCAAATTCCTATTTTCAGTCATTGATGTACTATATTTGCATTTGTGATTAGCCAGTTCACAGCCTGTAAGTGGACGTTTAGTGAAATGCGTGCTTAGAATCTTATCGCTAGGTGCTTAGGATCAAACAAACAATACAAGTGAAGATGTGCATGAGTTTAAGACAATCCCATATAGAGCACTTTTATATGGCATAAAAAGGAACACTGATTTTGCAGTGAGGCAAAAGTGAGATATTGCACTAAAGATTGAACTGGTAGCTTAGAAGGAATCAAGTGATGTTGATTGCAGGTATCCTCCATACAAACACCAATATTGTTTCAGAGCTGATCCCAACTACAGCAACTCACCAAATCTCCCTCGACAGCACCTGCCAAACCTATGACCTCAGCTGCTTCTAGAGGAAGGGGAGCAGATGAATAGAACACCACCACCTGCAAGTTTTCCTCCATAGCACTCACCATCCTGACTTCAAAATATAATCACCATTCCTTTACTGTCACTGAGTCTAAATCCCAAAACCTCCTCCTAGAACATAGCACATAGAACATAGAACATTACAGCGCAGTACAGGCCCTTCGGCCCTCGATGTTGCGCCGACCTGTGAAACCAATCTGAAGCCCATCTAACCTAAACTATTCCATTATCATCCATATGTTTATCCAATGACCATTTAAATGCCCTTAAAGTGGGCGAGTCTACTATTTTTGCAGGCAGGGCATTCCACGCCCTTACTACTCTCCTGAGTAAAGAACCTACCTCTGACATCTGTCCTATATCTATCACCCCTCAATTTAAAGCTATGTCCCCTCGTGCTAGCCACCACCATCCGAGGAAAAAGGCTCCCACTGTCCACCCTATCTAATCCTCTGATCATCTTGTATGTCTCTATCAAGTCACCTCTTAACCTTCTTCTCTCTAACGAAAACAACCTCAAAACCCTCAGCCTTTCCTCATAAGACCTTCCCTCCATACCAGGCAACATCCTGGTAAATCTCCTCTGCACCCTTTCCAATGCTTCCACATCCTTCCTATAATGCAGTGACCAGAACTGTACGCAATACTCCAAGTGCGGCCGCACCAGAGTTTTGTACAGCTGCAACATGACCTCATGGCTCCGAAACTCAATCCCTCTACCAATAAAACCTAACATACTGTACGCCTTCTTAACAACGCTATCAACCTGGGTGGCAACTTTCAGTGATCTATGCACATGGACACTGAGATCTTTCTGCTCATCCACACTACCAAGAATCTTTCTGCTCATCCACACTACCTAAACCAAACAATGACTACAGCAGTTCAAGAAAACAGATCACCACCAGTTTTGCAAGGACAAATAGAGATGGCAATAAATATTAACCTTGCTAACCAAACCCACATCCCTGAACAAATAAAAAAAGAATAGCTATATCAACCAAAGGCATTAAATTCAAGGTGCATTTCAGTGACTAATGGCAGCAAAAATAAATTTTATGATAGCATCTATCACATCATGTGAAAGTGTTTTAACACTGAAGAAAACATTTCTAAAATTGTTACTGTTCTCGTGTAGGAAACACCATGAATGTTTACACAGCAAGGTCGCAGAAACAACACTGTGATGCTAGTTGAGCAAACAAAACATATTCAGCAAGACACAGGGATAATTTCGTTACTCTTCAAAATATTTGAAGGAAGCTTTTAAGTTTACCCAGAAGCAGACAGCTTGTGGTTTCAGCAGAAAAATCATCACAGTCTTTAAAAAACACTGCCTACTATTCCTTTAATGATCGATTTGTCGCTCAAGTTTCTGAACGGGAGGCTTCAACCTGAAATTTGAAATGACAAGGAGGATTCTGAGGAGTTCTATTGTTATTGTGGGATGGCATTGGCCATCACAAATAAAACAAACAACTGTGGATGATGGAAACCTGAAACAAAAACAAACAGAAACTGCCGGAGATAGTAGGAACTACAGATGCTGGAGAATCCGCCGGAGAAACTCAGCAGATGCGGCAGCATCTTTGGAGAGAAACCAAGTGACAACGTTTCGAACACATTTAGAAGTTGCTGGAAAAGCTCAGCAGGTCTGGCAGCATCTGTGGGAAAAAAAAAGTTAACGTTTCGGGTCCAGTGACCTTTCAACAGTCCTACAGCGAATTAGTCTCAGTGTGTTCAGCAGCAAACTACTGTAGATGCTGGAATCAGTACTGAAAACAAAAAAAAAACACTAGAAATCACAGCTTAGTCTGCGCACCTTGAATTCAACACAATGCAGAATGAAATCATTAGCTGCTGACGGGGATAAGAGAACGAGGCAGGTTAAATTCATATTTAAAAAAGACAGGATGGGTGGGGGTGTTGGGGAAAGAAAGACTGTGTTTACAAACGGTGTTGCATTAAAACTGTCAGTTCAACCTAACCAACATTCGCATGCACAGAGGAAAGTCAGACAGTTCATGAGCCTCTCAGGCAAACCTCACAGACTCCGCTCAAGGGCAAAGCCCACAAACCCGGGTCTGCAACCAACAGACACCGGAACTGGGTCGCGAAATTATTCCACCGAGCACGCCAATTACCTCAGTTAATCACAAGCAAGAGTAGCCAGTATCAGGCGTCACTCTCTGCCACCGGCGGCACTCGTTTCGCTATTTGGCCTTCTCAACCAGAACAGCGGGGCAATGGCGGCTCGGACTCGGCTCCTTCCGACCACTACTCGGCAATCTCCGGAAAGGCAGGCGTCCTCGAAAAAAAACCCCGCAAAATCACAACGTTCCCGTTTTAACATTCCCCTTCCCCTCCTTCCGCCGCAACTCAACTTTACAACCGTAAAGAAACGCGTAAATAAAATCGGCTGTTCGTTGAGGGGTGTGGGTTTTTTCAAAAAATCACGGGTTCGGCCATTTCCGTCTCCACTCTCCCCCCCCTCCCAAAAGTCGACGTGAACTTTCCCGAGGCGAGCCTGTCACAGCTTAATTTTAATTTCAAAAATGTGTTCGGTTGTGGGAGGGTGAAGATAGCGGAGAGGTGGTGTTTGTTTTGGATTATTTTGTTGTCTAATTTTTTTTAGGCTCCGCCCCCTCGACCCTGTTTCCGGTGAGGATATAAAGGCGGTGCGCGCGGATCTTCGGCCTTTTGTAACGGCTGCCGCTCGCGCGAGCGAGATATTTGGAGATAGGGAGCTGCAAAGTCCACTGACTAACCACCCCACTATTCTCTTCCTCACACACACACACACACACACCCCCCCCCCCCCCCCCGTCGGCGACATGGGATTCGGCGATCTCAAATCTCCCTCCGGCCTCAAGGTGCTGAACGACTACCTGGCGGACCGGAGCTACATCGAGGGGTGGGTAAGGCCGCTCTTGAGGGTAGACGGGGTCGGTTGGAGGGGGAGGGGGGTGGTGTTGGCACACGCCGGGCTGAGGCCCTCACGCCGCCACCCGGACAAGGATCTAGGTTAGTAGCCGGCCCGACTCGGA